CCCCACACCATAATCTCCCCACCACCAAATTTTACACTTGGCACAATTAAGTCAGGCAAGTACCGTTCTCTTGGCAACCACCAAACTTAGACACGTCCATCGGATTGCCAGACAGAGAAACGTGATTCATCACTCCAGAGAACACGTCTCCACTTCTCTCCAGTCCAGTGGTGGCATGCTTTACACCACTGCATCTGACGCTTTGCATTGCACTTGGTGATGTAAGGCTTGGATGCAGTTGCTTGGCCATGGAAACCCATTCCATGAAGCTCCCTACACACTGTTGTTGTGCCAATCTGAAGGCCACACAAAGTTTGGAGGTCTGTAGCTATTGACTCTGCACACAGTTGGCGACTCTGCACACTGTGCGCTTCAGCATGCACTGACCCTGCTCTGTCATTTTAGGTGGCCTACCACTTCGTGGCTGAGTTGCTGTTGTTCCCTGTGGCTTCCACTTTGTTATAATACCACTAACAGTTGAACGCAGAGTATTTAGTAGCAAGGAAATTTCCCAGAACACCTGAATCCAATGATTTGGAGGGGTGCCCCATACTTTTGGTAATATAGTATATGTCTATAGACCACCCCTAATCAGTGTATAGAAACCCAGGTAACTGATCTCAAGAGAAGGGCTGATCATCCAGGATGGATTTTTCCAAACAATCACCATACTATCTAGAGATAAGGCTGGCACCAGTGGTGTTAACACAGGGCATAACTGTGCATGTTTATGTGTGATTATCCCTATACAAAAATAATAGGCAATTGGAACAACCCAAGTAGTTTATTTGAATGGTAACCAGTTCCGGAGGAACTTCTTTACATTATCAGACTTACTGATGGCAGTCTTACCTTCCAGTAATTTTTCTTATGTCTATGGGTATATTACGTATTAATTTAAAACGTTTTCCACTTGGTCTGACCTTCTCACTGCTAAGAGAAAGTGATAAATTACCTAGAAAAATATCTGTTTTCTAAATAATTACTAAAATTTAAAGAGGGCAGAATGAATTTTTTTTTTTTTTTTTTAGAATTGAATATAGTAATGTGTGCTTAACTACCTTCATGGATGTGTCTTATAATCTAGACTCACAATTAAAAGTACATACAACTAATTTTCTACTTCTAGGGGCATTTCAAGTTTTTGTGAAATTTAAACATGGATTTTTGTTCAAGTCCTATGCAACGTGAGGAAGAAGTGTTCAGAATAGAGACTTTTTTTGCTGCCCAGTTGTTGGAAAATACATGGTACGCATGATACCTGTAGTTGTGTGCACTTGCCATTCATTTCATAGGGCCAGGTTTTTAAATACATGGATAACTGCAGCACATAGCTGAGAACTAGCCACGCAGGAATGAATGGGATTTTCATATAGTTTATTGCATATGCATGCAATAAACTATAAGAGTGTTTATGTTTGCTTAGCCTAATTCTAACATTGCAAAGAATAGCTGAAGGCTGGTCATAGAGGACAGGCATATAAACAAGAATCATCCAACTGCCCTAGGATTAACTGTCTACAGAATACTGCAGAACATTTTGAGAGAACCTATACTTTGCATATATTGGGCAAAATAACAGGTTTCATTTACTGTAGGGAATTTACTTACCTTTTACTCTCTATTGTGCTATCTGTGATCTACCCCCAAGGCACTTGCATGGGTTTGTGTATGTGTATGATCTGACCAGATGAATTAGACAAAATGAACACAGGGCTGTGTGTATATTCCTTCTGGTCCCACATGAAAGGTTTTTAGCCTGACAGTTGGCTACTCAGGTGCTAACTGCTGCATTGTAAGGCTGGCCATACTCCTTCCAACCTGGTTGTACAAACTCTTTATCGTCTTCAGCAGATTTATCCAAGCTATATAATGTAAGAACCTAACTTAAGCTGCCCATACACCTTACGAATATCGGCCGATTTTTGTATGCAATCGCGTTTTCGTCCGATATTTGTAAGCTTGATGGGCAGTGTACAACCGCAAATACTGTACAATCGATCGACTTTTGACTAACCAGCAGGTTAGAAAACTTTGGTCGATCGTACGATTTTTGCAAGGTTGGTGGCGTTTCCGTACGTCAGAATTCGTACAATTTACACTGCACATGGGCAGACGAAAATACGTGCAGTCAATTACCACAATTCGTCCAGGTGCTTTCTATTAATTACTGCTTTTCCAACCTTGCAATAATCAGGGCAGGATGGTGCTGCCGTACGAAAATCGATCATTGGACGAAAAGTTTAGTCCGATGATCGCAAGGTGCATAGGCAGCGTAAGCAATTCAATCAATTTATATCCATCTAGACAGGCTCCTGTAATACATAGATGTTGGTAGATATGAAGACAATCGTGCAATCAGATTGTAATGTGTATGGTCAGCTCTGAAGGCAGTAAGAATATCACATATTCACATATTCCCCTTACCTATAAATACTGGATATTGTTAGAGGCAGTTCAGGGCAGTGGGAGATCAGAAGAATGTATATTAGAACTCTTAAAGGTCCCAACAATAAACTGTATAAAGGGCAAAGTAGCGGGTATAAAATACAGGTTCACCTTAATAAATGTAAAAGAGGAAAAGGAGCGATAAGCTGCTGATCACAGGGGAAACAATAATTATTATAACAGATTTTCGAATTCATATAATCAATCGTGCCTCAAAAACAGTCATCTGCCAGTATCTGAGGCATGCAAAGACATGAGATTGGCTGAAACCAGTTTGAGTGAGCAGCTATCATTTTATATCTCTTGGTACCTTAATGTAAGACACACATGCTAGAAGCTGATTTTAAAATGCACTTGTTCTAGATAGAATTGCTCAAAAATCCAAAGGTTTGTCCAATGTACTCATAACGTTAAGGTAAACTTATATAAAGCTAGCCATACACCAGTAGAATTTTGCTTGAGAAAATGAGTTCACAAAACCTTCATTTGACTTTATAATAGTTGATGGGGTCAAATTAATAATCAATTTCATCCACAGTGACGAAAAAAGTAGAAGGAGCAGAATTTGAAAATTCTAACGGTGAATGTGGTTTTCATCCAAAAAGTCAAAATGAAAATGAAACAAAATTTCAGACGACATTCATGAAGTCTCTTATGGTATTATTGAAAGGTCCAGAAAGATCTTTTGTTCAGAAATTTACCAGTGTGTGGCCAACTTAAGTTAAGTAAGACGTTTAGGCTAAGTTCACACCTAGGCGACTCCTAAACCGTGCGGCAAACCGCGCGGTCGGGTATAGCCAAGGCGTGAACCGATCGCACTGTGGGTGCCATTATTTTCTAATGGCACCCCAGTCGCACCAGGCGGATCAAACGGTTTCCCGTTGTGATTCTACCGGTGCAAGTGAAAAGCCAAGCGCCGTGTGTCGCAAAAAAAGGTACTTGTATCTTATTTTAGCGATTGCCGTGCGGATGTCACCCCATTGAAATCAATGGGGCCGCTCGGCAATCGCTGTGTGCACTAGCACACGATCATGCATCCCGGGTGTCGTGCAGTGTAGTGCTGATGTGAACCTAGCCTTAATTAGATCTAAGCAGATTGTGAAGCTGGTCCTACAACTTACATCCTCTTCTTTTAATCAAAAATTTTTACATATTAATTGTAAGTTATTTTATTTTTGTAATATTTAAACTCAGTAGATTGTACAATCAGACTGTAATGTGTGTTCTAGCTTTAACATTAAAGTTCTTGTATTTCTACTACAATTTGTAAAAGATGTTCAACTTAGCCTTATGTCCTAATTTAAATGTTAATATCTTTATAATGAGTGAACCAATACAAAATATTGCAATTTCAATAGGAAAATGTACAAATAAAGTGACTAAATATCGTTAAAAAAATCTGAACACAGGCTAAATTGAAAAACCTTATACACAAGAGTAAAGTTCATTAGTTTTAGCCAGTTGACTGTCATTTCCAAAAATTATTGGATTTAAATGGAAAAAAAAACTTTCACTTTTTAAAAATAAGAATACTTGTCCTGGTGCTTTTGCTTTGTTTATTGTGCTTTATGAGTTTAGCGCTGAAGTTAATAAACAAATGTATATATAGATATATAGATATATATCTCTATATACATATAGAGATATATATCTATATATCTATATACATCTATAGATGTATATATATCTATATATCTATATATAATTGTTTGCTTCAGTGACAATATAAGCATCAACACAGTCAGCAGCAACCTACATTTAATAATAAATAATTTTATCACAGGGTCATCAAATTGTTTCTGTGTGGCTGGTTTGACTTTTTTGATTAATGGCATTCTAAGAGAATACAGCGTTGTTGAGGTGTCACAAAGTATAACTGTATAATAGTTGGCCTCTTACTGAGAACTCTGTTAATGACAGCCTCATTTGCTCAGCTTCAGTGACCATTTGTCCTGGAGTCATTAGAGATTGGTGGAAGGGGAGGTTAATTTACATATCCCTGAGCATATAACCTGGGGGAAGAGATGAGCCCAAGCAGTTATCCACACTCTCTAGTCCTGAATACATTCACCCCTTACAGGATTGTCCTGAGTGCTTTCACAGCTGGCAGGCTCCATTGATGCTACATTTTTCCTCTTCAAGATACAACACCAGGAGTTTTAACTTGGCAGCATAAACAGAGCTACTACAAGGAAAGGACTAAACATGTTGGAGTTGCTAAACGCATCGCTAGTCCTACTGCTGGGTTTGATGACTTCCCTATCCTCTGCAGAATTTGTTCATTACCACATCTATGAAGAAGAAGCTGCTGGAACAGTCATTGCTGTTTTATCAGAGCACTCGCTGTTTAACTCCACAGAGCAACCAGAGAGCAACTTTCGCCTTATGAAGCAATATAACAATTCCATTATCCGTGTCCAGGAGAGCGATGGCCAGCTAAGCATTGAAGAGAAGATTGACAGGGAACAGATCTGCAGGCAGGCTTTAAACTGCATCCTGGCTCTAGACGTGGTCAGCTTTTCAAAGGATCAGATAAATTTGATCAATGTAAAAGTGGAGGTAAGAGACATTAACGATAACATACCTCATTTCCCTAGTTCTGAAATACATGTGGATATTTCTGAAAGTTCGGCAGTGGGTGCTAGGATTCCTTTGCAAATAGCTATTGATGAAGATATTGGGGCAAATTCTATCCAGAACTATGAACTGTCAGACAACACCCACTTCAAGATTGATGTCCAGACCAGAGCAGATGGGGTTAAATATGCAGATCTAGTACTGTTAAGGGAATTAGACAGGGAAAGCCAGTCTGCATATACCTTGACACTGGTGGCTATGGATGGAGGGAGCCCATCACTTTCTGGCAGTGCTGTGGTTAATGTTCGGGTCCTGGACTTTAATGATAACAGCCCAGTGTTTGAGAAGAGTGTTGTCACTGTGGACATGATGGAGGATGCTCCAGTAGGATACCTCCTATTGGACCTCAATGCAGCTGACCCTGACGAAGGTGCTAATGGAGAAATTGTTTACAGTTTCAGCCCTCAGGTGTCTCCAGAGGTACGTCAGCTCTTTCACATTGATCCCAAATCAGGTGGCATAACTCTTGAAGGTAAAGTTGATTATGAGAGCAGGCAAACCTATGAGTTTGATATACAAGCTCAGGATTTGAGCGCTAATCCACTAACTGCTACTTGTAAAATAACTGTGCATATTATAGATGCAAATGATAATGCTCCAGCTATCACCATCACTCCCCTAACACCTGTCAACAAGGGCATAGCCTATATAACTGAGGGAGCTGCTAAGGATAGCTTTGTAGCACTCATCGGCACCACAGACAAGGACTCAGGGCTAAATGGTCAAGTTCATTGTACACTTTATGGCCATGAACACTTTAAACTCAACCAAGCCTATGAGGACAGTTTTATGATAGTCACTACTTCACCCCTCGACAGGGAGAAGGTAGCAGAGTACAACCTGACAATTGTAGCAGAAGATTTAGGATTCCCTTCCTTGAAAACCATAAAACAGTATACTGTCAGGCTGATTGATGAGAATGACAATGTTCCTAAATTTACTAAACAAATATATGAAGCCTCTGTACAGGAGAACAATGCCCCTGGAACTTATATTACAACTGTGATGGCCAAGGATACTGATTTTGGACTGAATGGCAAAATATCTTATAGACTGGTTGATGCAAAAATACTGGGGCAGTCCTTGTCTACATTTGTGGCTATTGACACTGACTCAGGTATGTTGCGTGCTGTAAGATCACTGGACTATGAAAAGATCAAACAACTAGACCTTGAAATTGAAGCAAGTGACAACGGTACTCCTCAACTTACAGCTCGTACTCCACTGCGAATAAAAATAATTGATGTAAATGACAATGCACCTCTGATAACTTTCCCCATACTGGATAATGGATCTGCTGAAGTTATGTTGCCCATCCATGCCCCACAAAATTACTTAGTTCTTCAGTTTAAAGCCACTGATAAAGATGAGGGGGTAAATGCCCAACTTTCCTTTGCTATCCAGCAAGACAACCAAAAATTATTTGCCATAAACAAAGTGACCGGTGAATTATCCTTAACCAGGAAAATTGATTCTTTGCAAGTTAAGGACTTGAGCATTGTTATTGCTGTGCATGACAGTGGAAGACCTTCAATGCATTCCAATGCTAATATAACATTCACTCTCACTGAATCATTTCCTTCTGGTGTAGAGATAGTTATTATGCAAAGTTCTGCAGAGAACCCACATCAGATGGACCTGTCTATAATCTTCATAGCAGTGTTATCTGGAGGTTGTGCCTTACTCCTTGTCGCTATATTATTTGTGGCCTGTTCTTGCAAACGGAAATCTGCTAATTCTAAGACTGATGTTGAAGAACAAAGTATAAGAGAAGTTAAAGACCAACTACTTAACAGAACAACTATACCAAAAGAGACTCTATCAACTTCCACTTTGTCACAGTCTGAATCTTGTCAGCTGACAATCAACACAGACTCAGAAGGCTGCAGTGTGTCATCCAGCACTGACCTAGCCAAGGACCTGCAGAGAGCATCAAATGTAAGTAATCCTTTTATTTATATTTATTAAGTATTTCTTAAGGCTTCAGTGAACATAAAGCCATTTAATAGTTTAATCTTAACTGCAACGCCTTACCTGTCAGTAAATTGTTTAAATTGTAGAGCTAGTGTCCAAATACTTAATATGTCTTCAGAATATTTGTTATTACTATGCAAATGATTGTAGGCTGTTTTACAGGACAGCACTTGTTATCCTGGCAATTTAAATATATGTACTATGCCTTCTAATGAGGTCTTTGATTGAAAGGTGAAAAACAGTGTGTCTTTCAGTGCATGCTAATGTATTTTTTTCCCTCTTAACAGAGTTCAGATTTGGCCCCATTATACAATTCATCCAGGTGGCGCAAGGATATCTCTACAGAGAGCATAAGGTAACAGTTATACTCACAGCCAACATAAAAAAAGTAGTTTGTTAAAAAAATACATAGAATAATGGTTCAAATTCTGAAATGCCAATGTTTATACTGCATTACTATTATGCAAGCATGGAGCAAGTATGGAACATTTCTGTTTTTAAGTTTTGTGATATGTAAAGCAGAATAGAATGGTACCATGTTCTGCCAATACATAAGAAGAACAAATACATCAATTGGTCAATTGGTCAATTGATAGTAAAAGTAAAAGTAAATTGGTCAAATAATCCACAGCAGCCATTCAGCCTGGCAACTTTAGAGTGGTTTAAAGGTACCCGCTACATTTGTGTGATGATTGTTGCCTATATGTTTTGGGTAACAACTGTATATCCTTGGGCAGTTTATGCCTTTTGCACAACCCCATCTTAGGGTATGAATTTCCTCTGCATTGTCTCCTTTGGTAATGTCCCTTATAGATCAGGTCAATCTCATGTTTATGGGCACCTTGAATTCACACATTGGGTTCTGCATATTTGAATATGCCCAGCGTTGTACAATGCCAGCTTTTAAACAACCCCACACCCACCCCCGGCTATGCTTTTTCATTTGGTTGTTCATAGATTTGGGGCCCTCCTGATCTGGCCATGTATGGTTGGGTTTGAAATTAATTGCATGGTGGTATGAAGCCATTAACATGGACTGGATGCTTGCAATATGCATACATGTAATTTGTTCTTATTTATAATGCAGTATATTTGTATTCTATAAATGTCGTTTTAAGTTTGTATATACAGTCAGTAATGAGAAGTGATCACTTTATGTACATCAGTGCCTGTTTAATAATGTAGTTGTTATAACTCATTTATCATCTTTTATTTCTGCAGTGGAAGTTCTCAGATTGAACACCTTAGTGTAAAAGACAGTGGCAAAGGAGACAGTGACTTCAATGACAGTGACTCTGACACCAGTGGGGAAGGTGTGAAAAAAAGGGACAGTGGCCTGCCAATTCACAAGCAGCCTAGTAAGTTGTAGCTCAGTCAATTGTATTCTGTTTTTAGTAATTTCATGGAAAGAGCAATAATATCATGATACTGAACTATCACAAAGTGTTCTTTTTTCTGTTTTCATTTGTATAGTAAAAATTTAAAGTGTATGTCCAGTCAAAACCTTTCTAGGATTAGAATGCCTGTCAAGTATTATTTCAATCCACTATTCCAATAGAGCATTTTCCTCCCACATACAGTTCCAGTGACAATGGAAGTAAGGGAAAACTCTCTAAAAAAATAAAAAGAACAAAGACATGGATGTTTTTTTTTTGGGGGGGTGGGGAGTGGGGTTGAGGGGGTGATATACCCCTGTCATCTTTCTGTTACTGTCTGTGTCCTACTTCCTTTCTACTGAAGTTGTTATCACCAGACAGAATGTAAGGGGAAATCTCACTAATGGAGTCCTAATGGAGTAAAACCTAAAAAATCCTACACCACTCCATTTAAAACTGAGATAAAGAGTTTTGGCTGGATATGCAGTTTAAGCCCAACTTCATGCACATTTTCTTGATGAGTATTATATAGTGCACACTATTCAACTTCCACTGTCCACATCTAATCAATTTTGTAATTACAACATTGTTTTCTTCTATTATTCAAGGTTCTCCATACACGGGAATATCTGGAACATTCAAAGGTCCAGAACATCCACTCAGTCCCCGCAGCAATGAAGGCCCATATCCTGGAAATGTAACAATGCAGTATGAAAAGGGATATGCAATGTCTTATTCCTTAGTTCCTACATACTACAACACCTACCACTGCTCCAGAATACCTAATGTTCCCGTCACCCAGTATACACTTAAAGGATCTTATTATGTCAACAGTATGCAGGATGAGAGACTGCCCAGGCAATGTGAACGGGATTTGGTAAACAGAGGAACCATGCTATCACCACCCAGAGTGTCCAGAACATATCCAAGTTCCAGTTACAACACAGAAATAAGCTTACAACCTTGTGAAATTGCAACCACCTTTTAAACCTTTCCGGGAACAGTCATTTTGTTAATTAGAGGTCCAATTTAGTATTCTGTTTACTACATTGTAAAACTTGTAATCTCACAGAAAGAGCTCTGCATTTCCATCAGTATATCCTAGGTGACAGCACTGCTGCTGGTGCATAACATTACTTAGTCACTGACTAGGGGCCGTCTTCCAAAATAGCATATCTAAAGATTTCACGTAAGCATGTACCTCCTATATACCCCGGAAACAAGATATATGCTGTGCTGACTGTTACCTAAGAATAATGTATAAAGACAATAACAGATACAGTATTTAACAGGATACATTGAAAGGAGACAAAAGTATCTGCATAATAGATAAACACAGATTACTATGCTATTACAATGTCAATGTATTTAAAAAAAAAAAAGAAATGCATTCTACAAAATGAAGGTTTAGGAAATGTGGGAGGAGACATGCAAATTTCTTATGAAATATCACTTTGGCTAACTATGCATACAGAATAGCTAGTTTTATAGCATGGATACAATCAATATCAGAAAGCTGATGGGTATGTAACAAGGCGTAATCTAGGTTTGTAAGAAATCTAGATATTGCCACATTTTATTCTGTCATTGCACTCTTGTTAGTTCACTTGTAAATATATACTAATTTTTGTACATATATATATGTTTCACTATTTGACTGTACATAGTATGTTGTATATGGATTTGTTCTTTCAATAAATATTTATTTTGAAAATTTCTCTAAAATCTTTGTCTCATTCATTTTTCTGTTAATATAGTTGATTAATATTGGCAGATGGCTCTTTTATTTTTTTATGCACTTTATTTTATAATGTAAAAGGAAACATGACTGAAGTACAGGTATTACACAGTTGATACCGTTCACATCCTTATAATATTTACATCTTGCAATAAATATAGTTAGGATTCTAGAATCTGTCTTCCAAATACAATAATGATTAAAGTGTATCTAAAACCAAATCCATTTTTTTCTTTTTTGGGGGGGTAAGGGAATAGAGGGGGGTATGGTTTTTTGCCATCTGTGTCCCATTCCTGCAGACACAACAGGAAGTGATAGGAAATCTCTCAAATCTCATTTATCTTACAGCTGTCCCTGGAACAAGTCTCCCCATTGAAAGATATCTCTTCTAATCCTATTCTAGTGACAATTCCAAAATTTAGGATTTTCCCTCACTTTCAGTCCTGAAATGGGTGAATCTCCCCAGCAAAAGCCCACACAGTAATAACAACCTGACACCACTCTATCCAAAAGAAAAATGTTTTGGCTTCAGATACACCTTAATGAATGAAAGGTGTTAAACAGCATGCAAGCTCTATGAGTTTATAAAAAACAAAAGAGGCTGATGTCCAGAAAATTTAAAATAAATCAATAAAGAGAGTACCTTTGCTCTCTGTGGTCCATTGCAGAAACTATGTCCCTATAGGCGAGTTAAAATGTAATCACGCTACAATCATTATGGTGCCATCGCTGAAGTGCCCTGAGAACACCCTCATTAGGTTCTCACAGGAAGGTTTCTGATGAGCCCAATAGCAGGATTTGTCAGAATTAAGGATGAGCGAACCTGCCGAGTTCAATTTATCAAGGTTAATTTGGCTACAGTGTCGGCGCTACAAGGGTGCATAGGCAGCCGCATGAGGGCCTCAGGGGAGGGGACTGAAAAATGCACCTTCACCTCATGCTCAGTGCGCACTCTGGATTATTCCACCACTAATATCACTTGATTCTACACTACAACCTTCTGTTGGACCCCGTCCACTCCGGCGCTGCATGAGAGAACGTGCCTACTCATTGGTAGGACCTCTCATGTTACCTCTGTCTTCCACAAGCTAATGTCAGCATATTTGTGTGTGGCTCTGCTCCCCCAATCCCAAGGATTACTCTTGCCTATAAAAAGAATTCCCTTGATTCAGAAGATGTTCCTAATGACTAGTCCAGCTAGCCTGGGAGGGCATGTGTGCTGACATGTATGCATGACTTTTGTCTTGCGAGGGTTGTAAAGTAATTAAAAAAACGTACGATCTGCCCATCTTGGACAAGCATATCGTACTTGCGATCATCGCAAGCCCGCTCCGCTGAGGGGCGGGCTTCCGATGACTGCAATGCTGAACGGGCAGTGTGTGCTTGCGCACACCGGCCTGTGCGGAAGTCATCTCACGATCATAATTCAAACCAGCTGAAAATTGTACGATTCTCGCCTGGTTTTCGAACATGCTCGAAATACAAATGTCGTGCGACCGTACAGTAGAAACGGTTGCACGCCTTCCACACACTGCACGATTATCGTACGATCACGGGATTTTCCGCGATTATCGTACAATAATTGTGCAGTGTATGGGCACCTTCAGAGTGTCTCAGAAGTAAAGATGGGATGAAGATCACCAATCTGTGAAAAGCTGCGTCTAAAAATTGTTGAACAATTTCAGAATAATTTTCCTCAACGTAAAATTGTAAAGACTTTAAATATATCACCATCTACAGTACATAATATCATCAAAAGATTCTGAGAATCTGGAGAAATCTCTGTGCACAAGGGACAAGGCTGAAACGCAGTATTGCATGCCTATGATCTTCGGGTCCTCAGACGGCACTGCATTAAAACAGGCATGGTTCTGTGATGGACATCACTGCATGGACCTAGAAATAGTACCAAAAATCACTGTCTGTGAACAGTTTGCCAATGCAAAGAAGAAGCCATATCTGAACATGATCCAGAAATGCCAACGTCTTCGCTGGGTCAAAGCTCATTTAAAATGGTTTGTCACAAAGAGGAAAACTGTTCTGTGGTCAGATGCAGGGGCGTAGATAAGAAGGGGGGATAGGGAGGTTTAACCCCCCCAGAGTGTCCTGGCAGTGGGTAGCAGGGGGGGCACATGCTCCCGGGCGATGGTCTGAAGAACATCCACAGGCGGGCATGGCCGTCTAAAGGGATGCCTGGGATGTCCTTTTTGATAAATCATCATTGACGGCTGGTGGAGAGCTGAATATACAGTATTTCACTGATGCCGATGTTTTATTAAACAGGTCATCTTTGGCATCCCTTCAGACATACATGTGACTGCCTGGCCCTGGATGTTCTCAGTGGGGGCTCTGCAGGAGGAAGGGAGGAGCAGGATGATGATGCACCCGAGTCTAGTGCGTTCCTAAGGCCCAGTGCACACCTAGGCGAAACCTCACCGTGCGGCAATCGTGCACGATTCCGCATGGATTGCCGCATGGTCATGAGTCGCCTAGATGTGCAATGATCGCGCTGTATGTTATTTTCTAATGGCATCCCGGTCGCATCACTTGGTTTCATGTCACGATTCCGCCCGTGTTTCCAAACATGATCGCGGCTAAAACAGCCATGCGTCGTGTATCGCAAAAAAAAAGGTACATGTACATTTTTTCTGCGATTGCCACGTGGATGATTAATTGATGAAATCAATGGGGCCGCACGGCAATTGGGGCTTGCATTGAGCAGGACACACGTTCCCGGATTGCGTAGGTCAGCACCGGGCCAGAGTCCCGAGTCTAGTACATTCCTAAGTCCAGAGTCCATTGCATTCCTAAGTTCAGTGCGTTCTTATGTCAAGTGTCAATTGCGTCTGTCCTGGAGGGCAGGATCATAAAGAGAACCAGTCACCTCCGAATGCTATCACACAGGAGCTTGTTAATCTCCCTGGTGGTATTCTCAAGTGTGGCTCGGGGTTAATTTTCAGTACCAAGAGCGGTAACTCCGAGCCACACTCGGGATTGCGCAAAAGTGTCACTTACCTTGTCCCGGCGAGCCCACGGTGTCCTCTGCTGTGTGCGCATTCGGCTTTCAGTTTTGTTTTCGGGCATCACAGCTGGAGGCGGAGCCAGCGGGAAATGCAAAAGTGCAAACATGACATTTACACAGAATACAATGTAATCTGCTATAATTACATATATTTATAATTTCACTTCAATTTTGTCTCTCGAGCTTTGTCCAGTACCCTGCCTGCACTTTTACTGTACTCTTTTGACTATGGTACTGATCAGGCAGCGCCCCCAGAATTCCCATTTACTGGACCATTTTTTTAAATTATATTATCATTTTTTATATTACCCCCTGCGTGATAGCAATAAAGTTAAGTGAAAAAAAGATAAAAAGTAAAAAAAAAAACTAAAATGTTATTAATAATAATAATCCACAGAGCCCAACTTGAGACCCCACCAGGGCACCTGAGACCCCCACAGCCCACCTAAGACTCCGCACAGCCCACCTGAAACCCCCACAGGCTACCTGAGACCCCCCAGCCCACCTGAAACTACGCACAGCCCACCTGGGACCCCCACAGCCTACCTGAGAACCCGCACAGCCCACCTGAGACCCCGCACAGCCCACCTGAGACCTCCACAGCCCACCTGAGACTCCCCACAGCCCTATTGAGACTCTACACAGCCCTCCTGAGACTTTGCACAGCCCTCCTGAGACCCCATACAGCCGTCCTGCGACTCCGCACAGACATCCAGGGACCCTGCACAGCCCTCCTGAGACTCTGGAAAACCTTCCTGAGACCCCATACAGCATTCCTGAGACTCCGCACATCTGTCCCGAGACTCCACACAGCCATCCTGAGACCCTGCACAGCCGTCCTGAGACCCTGGAGACATCAGGCCACCACCCTGGAGCAACACAAAGTATGTCGCTTCATATTATTCTGCGTTGCTATATAATGTATTGCTGGGATTTGTAGTCCTCTATATTTAGTGGTATTCTGCATTGCTGTATAATGTATTGTTATGTGGTGTCTTTAGACCCGCTTCTGTGCTCCCTTCTTTTGGTACTGGTACTTCCGCTAGCATGGAGCTGGCTTCCTGGGCAATCAGGAAGACGGGCGTGTGTCATTACTCGCTGCCCAGCTTCATGGCTGGGTAATCGGCTCCATGCATTTTGGCCAGCTCAATGCTGATTGGCGGGGAAGCTGGGTTTCCAGCCAATCCAGCCGGTCAAACACCATGAAGCTGGCTTCACAGCCATTTAGG